AAAAAAAAAAAAAAAATTCATACAGCTACTTATATATATATGTACATGTATACTCTGTGGTAGTCATAGCCACTCTATGAGAAAATCAATTGCATTCCAGTTGTTTCATTGGAGAACATTGTGTTCTATTTATAAATCCCTACTTCCAATAATTACAGGCAGTGAAAGTGCGATATTAGATTAGGTTATACGATTTACCATTTATAATATGAACACGATGATGCTGCAGCAGTGTTGCATGGACGAATATTCGCAAAGGAAAAGCGGCGGACGTCAAACATAAATATTGCTGGCCATAACACCATAATCTCACAGAAGCGTAAATTCACGGTAATCACGTTTTAACAAGATCACTCGCGTAAGCGCGGATAATAAGTTCCAAGGAAACTCGTCGTAATTACGTTGCAATCGCACTGGGATGAATTATCCTGAACAGCTTTTAAATTTCAATTCTCACAGGTGCTTCTTTGCAAAGATAACTGGGCTTCTCTCGCCAGTTTGCCGCCACATTGGTAGTCAATCGAGATACAATCGAATCGACATCGATAAAACAGTTTCAAAATCGATTGGTGATCACTGAAAGTACAAAGCGATTTCCAAATGTATTTTACACGTTACAGTCTCGTCGAAGTGTGAAACGTATAGAAAAAAAAAAAAAAAAAAAAAAAACCGTGCCATCCAGTTTACGATGCATGTATACACCTCGTTATGTTAACCATCGGCACAAACAAATCTATAGTTAACGTTTTCACCAATGCGCGTAACGTACAATTTGAAATGGAACATGGCGGTTGGACGGGAATTTTGACGTGAAGCGTATTGAAAGAGGAACGATGTCGATAAAAAGATCGTTACAATCCAGAAAGCACGGATGAATGACCGCAATGCGTGAAAGAAATCAGAAATCGAAGCGGATCGAGACACGCGTTGTCACGTTATCACGAAGACGATAAAGCAATACGTGCGATGGCAGTGGCGGTGCCACGAGTAACTGCAGCAACATGCGCAGAGCCCGTTCGATCGATAATACAGGTTGCCGCGGAACTACGCGATAGCCAATGGAAATCAGATCACATAAGACACACGCGAGAAACACGTGGAAACGAAAAATGCGGCCGCGATTTAACGCGATATGTCAATATAACCGATGTTGTCCGCGGGAAACGCGTCACACGACTGACGAGTACTTTGCCACCCTCATAGGCTCCCCTTTCCACCGCCCCCTTTTTCCACCCCCTCGATTCGTTTCACCCTAGACTCGTTCGTTCAACCCCAACGTTCAAGAATATGCTGCGGATGCTTGCATCGTTATTGGCACGATACAAATTGATACCTTTTCGACAAAAGAAACTTCTTGACCTTCTGCTTCTGTGTTTTCTTCTCGTAACACTGGCATCAATCGTCAAAAGCATATTTTTGTACTTGACACGATCTAAGGCATGCAAGTGATGCAAGGCATATCCATAATCGTTAAATATATTTCTAAAAAGTATAAAAAGTTTAATATTCATTTTATTTAAAAATCATGTGATATTACTATATTATCGTATTCAATTCAAATATAATGCTGATTAAAAAGCATTATTGCAAAAAATAAACAAATGTATCGGTATCTGTGACAGTATTATATATATTTCGTAATTGTAGAATTTAATATTAGTCAAGTACGAAACTAAATACTAGTAATTAAAATAAAAGAACTAGAAGACAGCTTTAGAAAATGCAATAGCATAAAACAAGATCAGTATCTTGCATTTAATAATTATATATTTGTCCAATGTTATTTCGCATATAGATTTATCATTTTAAAATAAGAGATTATCGTAAAACTTTTTAAATATTTATAATCCTAAATATAAAATATATATCAAATCCATCGATTACAAAATTATTTCTTATAATTTGTATGTTCTTTCTATTTCTATCATATATATTTTTATAAACTAAGTAAAGAATATTCTTTCAACTTCAATGTTTCTTACCATATTGTATAATACTTCTTGTAATATTCAGATTACACGATATTAAACAGACAATTACGTGACATTTTATGGTTTTCTTTTTAATGTTATTTAAATCCCTTAATCTGTCCAGATGGCGCTGATATATGTGACTGCTGCATTTCCTTTTCACCATTGTCAATTAAGATGGAAAAAGAAGTTAGGTTATGTTAGGTTAGCTTTTAGTTGACACGTATTATAAGTTCGACGTATTAATTTTTCTATATAACATGGTATGAAACGGATGCGAATGCAGAACGGAAACGTAGAAACCATGTCATACTTACGTGACTGGAGACAAGCGTTGCGTGCTCCTCATGTCTACAGAGTTGCCAACAGTACTTTTCGCATTCAGAGCCAATATTTGGCCTTAATTTTCCTGTTGTTATCTGTTCCTTTGTTCCTACTTGGATTCCCATTGCTGCGAGGTGTTGTACATTCATCGCCATCGAATCAATTTTTATCACAGTGTAGATATTACAAGTACAATAAAACGTATCCTCTATCAGTTCCAATCAAGACATCTAAGGGTATCACTTATCGTATAGCAATAGTAAGTGATCTTGACCATGATTCCAGAAGTTTAGATAAGAAAAATGTGTGGCACAGTATTATGAAAACTGGAAGTCTTTTTTGGAATCCTAGCACAAATTTTCTGTCTGTTGTTTGGGATGACAGAAACCATATGTTAACATCTTCTTTAACTATGAAAGGACGTGGCATGGAATTGTCTGAATTGGTAACATTTAATGGGCACTTGTTATCTTTCGATGATCGTACAGGAATTGTATATTTCATTGAAGGAGAAGAAACCTATCCCTGGATTATTTTAATGGATGGCAATGGCAAAAGCTCGAAAGGTAAATCCTACGTTCAATTTCATCAAGATTTATAAAACTTTAGTCACCTTCAAAATTTATGGTGTTAATTTTAGGATTCAAATCCGAATGGGCAACTGTTAAAGACGAGCATCTATATGTTGGCAGTATGGGCAAGGAATGGACCACTCCTTCAGGAGAATTTGAACATAATAATCCTCTTTGGATAAAAATAGTATCTCCGCGTGGTGAAATTCACTCTCTGAATTGGATTTCAAATTATAAGCGATTAAGACAAGCAATAAATATTGAATATCCAGGTACAATTATACATTTTATATACAATTCTTTTAATTTTAATTTTAATTAAAAAAATCTTTTATAATATTTTCACACAGGTTATATGATTCATGAATCGGGTGCTTGGAGTGATATACATAAAAGTTGGTTCTTTTTGCCAAGGAGATGTTGTCATGAACGCTATAATGAAACTAAGGATGAAACAATGAGCTGCAACATCTTACTAACTGCGGATGAAAATTTTGTAGATATTAAGGTATTTGTCTACTTTTGATCACAAGTTTAATTTTTTGAAAATTGATGAATTAAAAGACCGCAATATTTTATTTCCAGGTTACCAACGTTGGTAATTTAGTACCAGTCAGAGGTTTCTCAAGTTTCAAGTTTTTGCCAGGCTCTCAAGATTCGATTATTATTGCCCTTAAAACTGAAGAGTATCAAGGACAGACAGCTACATATATCATGGCATTTACGATTGACGGAAACGTAATAATGCCTGAGACTAAAGTAATGGATAAAAAGTTCGAGGGGCTAGAATTTATATGACATTCCACTTAGGAATATTCTTATAAAATTTGAAGAATGTAAATAAATGTACAGAGATTTTATAGTTCCATATTACTACTATAATATTATAGTAAAGTGTTTTATTCAATTGCCAGTATTGTTATCTTGGAATGTACTTTTCATAGCAAGAGCATCACACTTATAAACATCTACATAACGATTGTAAATATAATGTACATAAAAATATTTAACGAAATTTATTACAAAACTATAAAAGAGAATGTTATCCGAACCCAACGACGTATAGAAATTATGAAATAAAAATTTGTTTTATATATTGATCGTTATATTACTTATAACAGAACATTCCAATTTGTTTCATCTTATTCCCGTTTTCGTACATCTGCCTCTCAAAATTACTTTGATGGACCTTTTGCCCAATATCGTAATGCGCCTTCAGGGTCGTAATATACATAGTCTAAAATCAATAATATCTATATATGAAAACGCGAGGTGGTGGCAGCAGCAATGCGCTACGCCGAGAGACTTTAGTCAACTCGTGGCACCGTAGATAGAAAGCTCTGTTTAGCAAATGTCACGTTTCAATATTATTTTCCAATAGATATGAATATTTTTTTCTTTTAATCTTCGCTTGAAGCAGTGGTGGATAACGTGTAGTTTTCTACAACTTATCGACGAAACACTGAGGAAACACAAGAACAAAATCACCGCACTTCCTTCAACATTGTTTATACAAGTAAGAAAGCAATATTATTAAATTCAGCAATAAAATCAACGAGAAAGGAAGAAGAAGAAGAAGCACATAGAATAACACCTAAGGACAATAAATAAGCATTTCATTACTAATTGTAATTGATTTGACTCTGCAAGTAAACCCCCTTGAAATATTCACAAAGATGTACTGCACAAATTAATTGTCTTTCATACGAGGAACATACGAAGAAGTTCGCTTATGTAATACATCTGCAATCAGCGCAAGTTCCACAAATCCATGAAATGCATTTAGGATGTGAATGCACTTCTCAAGAGTGGCAGGAAACAATTCTTTTTGTAATAAACAAAGCCGCGTAATGTCAATCAGTTTCAGTATTTTCGAAAAACCAGTTAACCGGATATTATGACGAAGGTTTTCCAGTATTAACATGTCTCCTAGACGATGCATTTCAATGAAAAACACAAGCATGCTCGAAGGGAATACTTTGCATGCTTGTCCACGGT